TTCTGTTAGACCGGTCCACTGGACCGGTCCAGCCGGTCCACTGGACCGGTCCAGCCGGTCCACTGGACCGGTCCAGCCGGTCCACTGGACCGGTCCAGCCGGTCCACTGGACCGGTCCAGCCGGTCCACTGGACCGGTCCAGCCGGTCCACTGGACCGGTCCAGCCGGTCCACTGGACCGGTCCAGCCGGTCCAGGCGGGACCGGCTCACGGTTGGAATCGCAGAACAGGCGGAGTTTTCCGCCAAAACGAGCGGCCGACCGCTCATATAGAGCGTTTTAGGAAGGATTTTTGGGGGGGTTTCAGAGAGAAATTTGAATGTAGGAACTGTTTAGGGAATTCCTTTTGATTTGTATGCATTAAATAGATGTTTTTCCTAGGGTTTGGGCATCTTGAATTTGGCTGAAATTTGAGATCTCGTAGATTTAGGATTTCTTTGGGCTCTAGCGGCGTCTAGAGATTTGGGAGAGATCGATCCTCCTCTCGAATTGAGGATCAATTGTATCTTGCTCTTTTATTCATCGTTTAAGTGGAATACAAGTCTTTTCTTGAGTTTTCTCTCGTATTTTCCCGAACAAGTGCTGTTTTTCTGCTGTAAACAGCAGAAATCTGCTGTTTTCCTGCTGTGGACAGCCATTTGGCTGCTGTTGGTTCGCCGATTTTGGATAGGTTGCTTGTGAATACAAGCACTACCTATCAGAAGACCTTTACAACAGCATGTTGGGAGGCCTCGCGGTTGAATGGGGGAGCTTCTTGGTGAGAATATTGGATATTCATTACGAGCTCAAAATACATTATATTCTTCAATCCAAGAAAATACTAGAAACTGATACGTTCTAACAACATTTGGAATTAATATTATTTCTTCCCTCAAATGATCTGAATTCCATGTTATATTCTTGCATGTGAAGTTTTGCATGATTAAAAGAGCTCTATTTCATCAAAAGATTATAGCGGCATTAGCACTGAACTGTTTAATTACTATCAAAGTTTAGTGAAGTAGCATTATTCTATTCATTTAACATTATTCAATTTAATCCTTATCATGGTCACCTGCATCTGTACTATTCTGTCAAAAAATTATAGTTGCCCAACATCATTAGTGTTTACCATTTTCAATAAATATTTTTGAACTTCATTAATCTTGCTTTACTCTAAAGTGTCTTGGCATCATTATCTAATGGAGATCAGCCAGTTTATGTAAAAGAGTTCTAGCCATTAACTGAAGTTTAATTCTATTCAAACAAAATGAGTTTCCACTTCCAGCATCATTAATTCTTGATTGGAAGCCCGACATCACTAGGAAAATAAACTGATGTTTTTATATTCATTTGGTACCATAACCCAACATTAGTTGACTTTTTTTTTATTTAGGGATTATCGAAGCATGTTATTGGCGATGTTACTGTTTTTTTTAAATATTATCAAAATATGGCATCGTTAGCACTTTTATATTGTCCAATCTTTATTGAAATTTGACTTTTTAAGCTTATTTTACTCTAGAGGCTTATAATACCTTGTACATTAATAAGCTCAATGTCATCAAGCCTTTTATCTCTCAAGAATGGAACTTACTAGCATTGGGATCATTAAAAATTGGGGTACATTAATTTAACAAGATCTCAACATCACTAAGGATGAATCAACCATTATTTTCTTATTAGCATTCATGAAATTAGACCTTGACATCATTGCTTTCAAACTGGCATCTCGACATTGTTAACTTCAAATTAGCAATGAAATTTTCTGACAATTAAATTTCCTTACATTTGGAGAGAAACATCATTTTGGCCAGACTTATAATTTTGGCCAGACTTATAATTACATGTGAAAGAGATCATAATCTATTTTAATAATATTTTGTTAAGCTAACCAAAGGCAGGTTGGCCTCATTAAGATATGACGGTGGGCCTTTGGCATGCAAAAAAATATTTCACTGGCCTAGTCTTTACTAAAAGGACAAAAGAGTCGTCGGCTTGTGTATGGGTACCAGGAAGTACACCCAAGGGCTAGAATTATTCTTGGCTAAAGGTATTTGATCTTATGATTAAATCCAAAAAAAAAAAAAAAAGTTTGAAAGTAGCAATAATATTCTTTATTGTTCATCTATAAGTACCTTATGTTTGGGGTAGGAATAGGAAAAGTTATTTCTCTACCAACTTTTTCTTCCTATATGAAAAGGGAAAAGCTTCGTTCATTCTCTTCTCTATTTGCGCTTACTCTCTTGGGCTTTAACATAAGCGTTGAATGGTAGAATCAGGTGGCACTCATTTTGCAGAGCTTCGACAATGGATCTCGTGATAATTCCGCTCTACAGAGCAAGCCCCAAGTTTTTTTATTCTGTTGTTCAAACTCTCTGTTGTCCTCCGTCAGCCAGTAAGACTACCAATTCCCGGCATGAATTAGGGGCTGTTTGGATATAGGATTTGAGTTAAATCTTGCCGAACACAAAAAACGTCTTCTCAAATCTCACGGCAAGTTAAATTATCCTTTTTTCACTTTTTGATGTAAATTCCGGATTTAAAAATCTTGTACTTTGGTGGATTTACGTAATTTTGGTTGAAGAAGTGCGTGAACGGGGAGAAAGATGGTTATCTTTGTAGTGAGCTCCCGTTGTTGATAATCGTCGAACCGTCGTGATTTCTGATCTGACAGGAAGGGAGCATCGTTGAAGGAGGTGAAGAAGCTTTTAACGACTCTTTCAAAACTCTATCTCAGATTCTCACCTGAAGCAAATAAAGTCAAACAACAATGAAGAAATGGAGAAGAGGAAAAGCAAATCCTAGATAGGCTTAAGGCTACAGAAAGAGAAGATAAATAATTGAAATAGCTCTTTGATGTAAATCAATGTAAGAATTGCGATTGGGAATTAAAATGAGAATTATTCAAGCGTTGTCAAAACAAATTTTATTACCAATAAAATGAAGGATTAATTTGTTCTAGGTAATTGACTTGCTTAGGCGAAGATTTGTTTTGAGATAACCAAACAATTCATAACACTTCCAAAACAAAAAGATATACTTAATTGCTCATAACAAAATCCACAATTAATAATAAAGAAGTTCACCTTGAGTACCCTCTCTTTCTCTCTCGTTCACTCTTGGGCTTTAGCGGAGAAGAAAGAACCATGCGAGGATGAGGAGCACCACTACGATGAAGGCGACGAAAGACTTTGTTACCGGAGAGGTATTCACCGGAGAAGGTGGTGGCGGATGGCGTCCAATGATCGTCCAAGTGTAACCACGAAATTGTCGGTCGAAAATACTTGCGAGGATCGGGACGACTCGCTCCAAGTACTCTTCGATTGTGGCGTCGTCTTCAAATCCTACATCGAAGCAAGGAGAGCGTAGGATATCAATGCTCCCGTCGGCGTGGAATACTAATCCCCACTCAAGCTCCGGATCCGCCATTCAACATTGAGGAAGGGCGGGGAGATGACAAGGGAAAGTGGGTTGGGCCGAGAGCTAGAGAAGAACAAGAGGAAAATCTGAATTTGAATTTGAGATTTTCCTTTGGTTGGAGGGAGATTAATTGCAATGGAAACCTCCCAAAATTTGAATTAGGAGGGGCGGGTATTAGGGGAGAATTAAGAGGGGAATTAGTGGTTGCTTATGTGGCAAGTAGAGAGAGAATAAGAGAGATGGATGGCCGGCCAAGCAAGGGAGGGAGAGAAGGGGATTTGATTAATTAGTGGGGCCCATGGGATTAATTAAAACCTAATTTGAATTTCAGGTTTTAATCAATTAAAAGGAATTCAAAATTTGAAATCAAAACTGATAAGATTTTATTTAATCTCTCCCTAAATATAAGGCATTAATTTAGGAAGGATTAATGAGGGAATCAATGCAAGGAATTTGAATTTCCCTGGGCTAGGCGGCGGGATTTCCTGGACAGAGGAGGGGGACGGGCTAAGGGGGGCGGGATGCGGTGGCTGGATGGGGCCGGTGGCTGGCACAGCCGGCGGTAGAGGAATGGGGAGGGGCTGAGGCGGCGGGATTCTATGGGGAAGGCTGCAGGGAGGTGAGGAGGCGGGTTGGGCCGGTGGCTGAATCAGCCGGCGGAAGGGAGGAGGACGGCCTCCTATGCCGACGGGCTGAGGGAATTTTGGACAGGGTGGGTTGCAGGGAGGTGGGGAGGTGGACAGTAGGAAGGGTCGGGTACGGAGATTTAGCGGGGGAGAAGAAAACAACGAACTAATTCAAGAGAACCAAGAGCTCACCGGCATGGGCTGTTGGGTAATTCGGGTGGAACCTCTCCTAGGTCTCCTCTCTCTCTTTCTCTCAAGCTCCCAAGCAAGAAGACAAAGACAAGTTTCAGAAATTTTATTAATCATTCATCAAGCTCATACAATAAGAGGAGATCCCTTTATAAAGATCTCAAAGCATGAAACAAAAAGACTCACATGCCCCTTGGGCTACAATAAACACTACGCCTACATAAGGGCGAAATCGTCACTAGTACATGAAATAAAAGATACACAAAATAAAATAACATAAAAACGACATGATAACATCAAAAATATAAACTCCCGATCGTAGCCGTCGATCTACGATTCCTTCGCCGATAAACCTGCCTAAAATGTCTGCGATGACTTCATCACTCTTCTTACTAGGATTTAATCTAATTAGCTTCATTGATATAATTAGAAATATAAATAATTCTTTAAATTAATTGATAATCAAATTAGATTCTATATATATTATTTATAGTTATTAGTTATTGATGATAATTAAAATTGAAAATAGTATTTAACTCTTATATAATTAAGAATATAATCATGGCTGTTAAAATTTTGATAAGATTTAATTTTAATACTCATCAGCATATTATAGTTATGAATACATCTTTCTTGCCAAATATTTTTCAGGATTTAACAACCATAGGATTTAGTAAATCCAAATTTACAGGATTTATTCAATCCTACTGGAATCTAAACAACCCTTATTGTAATGATTGATCTAGTATTGTTTTCCCTCTGAATCATAGGTTGGTTATTCAAAGTTACTTGATGTTGCAGGTGCTGGTGGCAGATGCTAACATATTAATGCATCCTTTGGCTGAACCTTGGGCGGATCTTGTTCATTTGCTTCAGAAGAAGGGTGCTTACTCATATATAATTTCTGCCTCGAGTTCATTTGGAAAGAATGTGTTACCACGGGCTGCTGCTATTCTTGATGTTTCTCCCATAACTGATGTCATTGAAATATCTGAGCCCTATTTGTTTGTCAGGTTTAGTTCAAACAAATTTTGTTCGAAATTCTTTAATTTTAGGCTCATTAATTAGTAGATTTTATGGTATACTTCTTTCAAGGTCAAGATTAGATATTCATTGCTATGAGATTTTTATCTTCTTTTATTCTCATGGATCATGTTCTACTAAATTCTACTAATAATTATTTATAAAATGTATAACACATTATATTCAGTAAAAGAAATTGTTATAAAATTTTCTGGTATTAGTATATCTTATTTTAGCATTTTGCAAATATTCTTTTAAAGAAAGAAATATATCAAAACTTGCTACATCTTTGGCTGCTTTCGAAGTTTCTACGGTGGGGTTGGGGTTGGTATAGAATCTATAGATTAAATTACGATGGATCCCTCAATTTTTACTCCTATGTCTAGAAGATTTTTCGTAATGGAAATTCCCTATCTAAATCGCTCTGTGTGTCTTAAAGTCTAGATGAGATATTTATTGAGAATTGAAAAGTCATGAGGAATATTACAGTGACTTGGTTAATATATATTTTCAATAAAATTTTGAAGAATAAGAGGTCGTTAAATGATTGGAGAAGAGAATTTTAGTAGTAATATTTAAGAATGAATATAATGTTCAAGATTATGCCAGTTATAGAGTCAAACTTTTGAGTTATATAATGAAAGAGAGTAATGGCTTTATAGGAAACCTCAAAAGAGATGAACTAGCTTCTATAGAATCATTTTGTGCTCCATGAGTACTCGTGTAAGTAGTTAGACAACTTATTGATTTATTTGGCTGAAATTTCTCTGAGTTAAATTTTGTCCAAAAATATTGTGCATAATTGCTTTAGAATTCGAATAACTCAGGATCAATAGGATGCTTAGCGAACCTAATAATATTTTGATCAGTTCTTTTAAATAAGGTAGTCAATATTCGAAGAATTAAACCAAGTTCAACAACATAACCTTTGTATGAAGTTAAACTTGACGAAACAATCATTGTTAGAGTTGGAGACCTTGGTGGCATGCTCATGTGTATTCTTGGTGTTAGTAGGAAGAACTTTACAACAGTGTGTTGGGAGGTCCTCGCGGTTGAGTGGGGGAGCTTCTTGGTGCAAATATTGGATATTCATTATGAGATCAAAATACATTATATTCTTCAATCCAAGAATATACTAGAAACTGATTCTTTCTAACATATGAAATTCATATTATTTCTTCCCTCAAATGATCTGAATTCCATGTTATATTCTGGTATTTGAATTTCTCAATGATTAAAAGAGCTCTATTTCATCAAAAGATTGTAGCGGCATTAGCACTGGTCTGTTCAATTATTATTAAAGTTTAGTGAAGTAGCATTATTTTATTCATTTAACGTTATTCAATTTAATCATTATCATGGTCACCCGCATCTACATTATTCTATCAAAACATTATAGTTGCCCAACGTCATCAGTGATATAAAATTTTCAATAAATATATTTCAGCTTCAGTAACCTTGCTTTACTCTAAAGTGTTTTGGCATCATTATCTAATGGAGATTAGCCAGTTTATATAAAAGAGTTCTATCCCTTAACTGAAATTTAATTCTATTCAAACTATATGAGTTTCCAGCATCCATTAATTCTTGATTGGAAGCCAGACATCATTAATTCTTGATTTCGCAAGGACTGGTATTGTTCCTTTCCTAACTTGGGCATTTCTATATCGTCAAAATCAACATGAGCTCATCCAAATTAATGATGATTTTTTCGAGTAATTCTGAGAAATAAAATATCTAGTTGCAAGAAGGCTAAAAACGTGAGGAAACTGATTACAATTTTCCTTGCAAAAATGATTCTTCTTTTTGCTCAGTGACTAAGGTTGATGCCTATTTTATAATGGAGTATGACATCTTTGCCAGGCCTATTTATGCTGGAAATGCTTTATGTACTGTTCGTTATACGGGCTTAGAACCTTGTATGGTGACCATTCGATCCACATCATTTCCCCCACCATCTATACCAACTGCTGTGGAGTCTAGTGCAGGCTGTGCAGCACCTATCTCCCAGGTTGACCTCTCAACTTTTTACAAAGGTATTTTTTGTTCATTCACCTTTTATTATTCAACAAGATTGCACAATTTTTGAAATTGAAACAACGATTGTTATTCTTAGATCTTTTCATTATGGTTATTTATTGCTTGTTTCTTCTTAGATACATTAATCAATTGTGCTTCTACTTTTTTTAACCAGTTATGAAATTTAGTTTAATAACCATTAATTTGAAAAGTCCGCCAATTATTCATCTGGCATTTAAGAGATGTTTGTGCTTCACTGCGGGTAAACCTCAGAATGGGCATGGTTAGCATCATTCATACTTATTATCCAAACTATACATGTGAGCATCGTTATTCCTTCTTTCATCACCACTGGTTCCATATAAGGTTGCATTTATTTTCTGGGCTGCTGTAGTTCATAATACAATGGCTATTATCAATAAATTTAGAATTTTTAGATTGTGTTATCTAAAATACTTTTAACATACTACCCATATTTCCTTTGTGATTGTGTAGAGCAACGAGATATTATATCTAGATTCAAAATGGAGTTTGTTCTGCACAGACTATTCAGAACTTTAGACATTGTTCATGGTATCCATAGTGAAGTTTTGACTTGATGATTTTGTTTTCTGCAAACTATTTCTGATGCAGTTCCCATGGAGTAAATTCTTCCTTTCAGTCTTTATTGTGGTGCCCATTTAAAATGATAAAATCTAAACACTTTATTTATATCTTTGTTTTTCCGTTCCTCTTAACCATCTTGATGTCTAATGCCCGTTTCCCATTCTCTTGTTAAGATTCTAAGCTTAATTGATTCCGCTGAACTTTTGTTATGAGTTAAAGAAATCCAATGCATGTTTACACTTCTTTGAATGCAGAAACAGGGGGAAAGTCCCGGTGGTTAAAGCTTACCTCTCAAGAAACTGACCGTCCAGATCTTGGAAATGCACGTATTATTGTTACAGGGGGACGAGGGTTGAAAAGTGCAGAGAACTTCAAGTTATTGGATAAACTTGCTGAAAAGCTTGGCGCAGCAGGTAATTTTGTATGTACATGAAAAAAATAGCAATAGTAGCTGTTAGAATTCTATTTTTATACCAGGGAAGTTGTCTTATTATGGCTTGCAGTACTTGTAATTTGATGGTCCTTTGGGACAATATATTTTTTTCTCCTATTATAAATAGAAGATCCTCCTTTGAATAAAGGCAAATCTTTGTTACTATTAATATGATACTAGAGGGCAAAAAATATCCCCCAAGTAATTCTCTATTATATTTCATGCCATGGCCTAACAAATCGCTTGCATTCTCTATCTTCCCCCACATCCTTTCTACACGCTTTGTCACTAGGAATGGATGTTCAGACGAATATTTAAAATTTTGCTTATTAACTTTATTAATAGCGAACTACTTCCACATATTGGAAGAGCCTATAAAACTCTAAATTCATGATGCATTTTTACGTAAATAATTTCATTTGCATTTTCCATTATCATTTCATATCTTTGTATGTTGAGCATTATCTGATTTATGATAAATGATTGAAATATGTTAGAAAATTCATGTCAATTTAACATGACCAATCATTTATAACAGAGATAAATCATAAATAATTTGTAATAATAATGAGTGAAATCATTACAATTTACTTCTAACTATCAATAATAAATGATGCATCAAATTTAGAAAAAATAAAATCATTACTATAAATTAGAAATATGAATATCCACTGCAAGTTTATAATTTATGTCTTTTTATTCACTCCTTGAGCCTTGCCTTCTTTGTTTTAATACCTATAAAAACATATGATCTTTTTATTTATTAATATATATTCCTAATAAAAGAATTAATCTTTAATTTAATACTTAACATATCATTTATTTTACTCTTTTAGATTTCTTTAAAACTATAACCTATGTATGTAATTATATTTAATTTTTTTTAATATAACATAAAATCTCTTAATTTAAGTATACTCTTACTTAAACATAAAAATTGTTACCGTTTGAACAAAAATAATATTTGAATGATAATTTAAATTTTATATTTCATTAACTCAAAATAAATTATAAATTTTCTAACTTAAATGCATATCTTGATACACCTCTTAATTTGTTATGTGCTCTTTCTCCCCTTCACAATCACTCAAAATCCTACTAAATTTATAGCTTTAAAAATCATTAAACCTAATAAATCATGTTGTACGAAAAAAATAAAAATCTTGGTTTCTGGTAAAAGAAATCTAATTTAAAAAAAATTTATCCTAAAACTTTGAAGAAGAAAACTCTTACTTGCTCAAGCTCAAATTTGTGCACTCTCCAAGATCACCAATCTCATTTATAATTCTAACTTAGAACGTAGGCCAACAAATGTACACAACATCCAACTCAAAGCCTAGCAAATTTCATTCGAACCACCCAAATTCCCCACATGAGTTACAAGTTCGTGCAACTGAGGTTGGCAGCTGTTAGACCAATCCACGCGGGACTGGCCCGAGCACGAACGAGGCAAACTGCTTCTGCCTCTTTTTTGCGACCTACCGCACCGCAAGCACCGGAGGATCATTTTAGGAAGGATTTTTTAGGGATTTGGGAGGGAAATTTGAATGTAGGGACTGTTTAGGGATTTCCTTTTGATTTGTATGCATTAAATACTTTGTTTTCCTAGGGTTAGCACATCTTAAATTTGGCTGAAATTTGAGATCTCCTAGATTTAGGTTTTTTTTTGGGCTCTAGCGACGTCTAGAGATTTGGGAGAGTTCGATCCTCCTCTCGAATAGAGGATCAATTATATCTTGCTATTTTCCGTTTTCGTTTCAAATAATACAAATTATTTACTGTTTTTGTGATTCTGTGCGGATTTTTGCGGAGAACTCTCGTGGTTCACGAAGACTGATAGGAAATACTTGAGATCTACAAGTGTTTCCTATTAAATTAGTATCAGAGCAAGCCTTGGGTAAGTTCGTGGGTTGATTTTGGCGAAGTTTGGTGGCTGATTTTTGGTCGGGAAGGGACGGAGTTGCTGTTTTTGTAATCCAAATCCGAAATTTTTGGATTTACAAAAGTTCGGATCGAGATGGCGGCCAAGAAAGTTGATGCGCTAGAAGAAATGCTTAGAAGGGGAGATGAACAAAATCTAGACAACGATGGAGGAAAGAATTTCCTCCATGGAAGGATAAGTAGCCGATCTCCGGGACATGTGAAAAAAATGTTGGAAATTCACAACCAAACGGCGGCTTCTGTGGCTAAAGGGGAGGAAGAAAAAAATATGAATTCTGAAATTCGTAGGAAGGAAGATGAGGTGGACATCGTGGAGGGGGAAAGAAGAAAATCCTATATGGAGCCTTTCCAGAGGGAGGCTAGAGGAGGTAGGTACGGGGAAAGGCATGGGTATGGAGGGACGGAGCAAAGGGGTGCTAATTGGGAATGCCGAGAGGGACATTATGGTCGCCGAGGTGCTGAGTTTGAAGGAAGAATAGGGGAGTTCGAAGGGGGTTTGGGCTATGGCAGGGCAAGGGAAGACCGGAAGACGTGGGGTGGGCCGAGCACTTGGGAGAGGGAAAACTATGGAGGAATAAGGGGGAATGGTGGAGATCAGAAGGTGAGGAAGTTGAAGATGTCTATCTTCGAGGGGGAGAATGCGTATGGGTGGATCTATAAGGTGGAGATGTACTTTGTAATTAATGGGCTAATAAAGGAGGAGAAGCTGACATCAGTAGGCCTATGTTTGGAGAGGAAGGCACTGTCATGGTACCAATGGAGAGAATAGAGGAGATCTATCAGGTACTGGAGGGAATTTAAGGACTGCATAATAGAACGTTTCTAAATTGACCGAGGAGGAGATTTCTATGAGCAGTTTTTTGCTTTGGCACAGGAGGGATCAGTAGCAGACTACCGAGAGCAGTTTGAGCACATAGCTAGTAGGGTGGAGCGATTATCAGATACGGTCAATGTTTAAAATTGCGTATTCGGGTGTTGAGGCGTTTTTCATTCGTGAGGCGAGGCGTAAGCCTTAAGGCGTTTTGAGGCGTAAGTCTCAAAATCAAAAGATTGCTTAAACATAAAATGATAATTTTTTTATATACTAATGAGTGAATAATATAAAACATAAAAAAGCATAAGATATGAAGTGAAATCAAAATATCCCAATAATAAGACAACATGAAATATAGTTCAACTCAAAATTCTATCTTTCCTAAATCCCAGTATTCTTTTTATTAACATATAATTCAAATTTCCAAAAATAAATAGCAATGACATATCACATAAGAACCCATAAGTCATTAGCACTGTCATCACTAAGGGGTTCTTCATTTGAATCATCATTATGATGAACTGCTCTCTCCCCTTCCTCCTCTTTTATAGAGTCCAATGTCGGGCATTTACTTCAAGATTTATGTAAGTTTTAATATATATAGCGTGAAGCGTAAGCTTCATGCCAGTGAGGCAAGGCGGGCCTCAACCAAGTTGAGGCGCAAGCCTCATAAAAAAAACTCGAGGCGTAAGCATCGAGGCGTTTTTTACTGGAATTGAGCAAAGGCGGGCCTCAAGGCGAGCCTCATATTGCGCAATTTTAAACCATGGATATGGTATTGGAGGGGAACTTCATGAAGGGGTTGAAGGTAGAGATCCGAGCAGTAGTGAAGGTTTTGATGCCTCGTGACTTAGGGGAGGCCATGAAGTTGGCACAGTTGGTGGAAAATCAGAAGAATCTAGAGAAGGGAGCTAGGAGCAATAGCCAGGAGGCTCTTACAAGATGACGACCACACTTCTAGCACTTAAGGGGCCTGCATCTGGCAACATTAATAAGACAACCAAGGAGAAGCCAGTAGGAGGGAGTGGGGAAAATTTCAAGAGGCTGACAGAGAAGATGCAGGAGAGGAGGGAAAAGGGGTTGTGTTTCAGGTGCGAGGAGAAGTATACGCCAGGACATCGGTGCAAGGACCGAACTCTTCAGGTTCTCACCGTCTGTGATGATGAGGAAACTGAGGAGGCGGGTGAGGGGGAGTTAGAGGAAGAGAGTGAGGAGAAGTTGCATTTGGATTTGGCCGAGGTTTCCTTGAATTCAGTAGTAGGGTTCACCTCGAATCATATGATGAAGGTGAAGGGGGAGATAGCAGGCATGGAGGTAGTTATTTTAATTGATAGTGAGGCTGCTCATAATTTCATTTCCACTCAGGTTGTCAACCAACTAGGAGTGAAATTGGTGGACATCGATTAGGAGTGGTGTTGACCATCTATGGGATTCAAGAGAGGAATTTCTCCCACTAGAGTTAGGAAGTACTGATGTCATCCTGGGGATGAAGTGGTTGCAAACCTTGGGGGAAACCAAGGACAATTGAGGAGCACTCACAATGGAATTAATGGTGGATGGGAGAAAGATAGTTATAAGGGGAGATGCAGGGATATCCAAAGTCATGACATCACTTAAGATCATGGTTAGGGACATACAAGAGGTGGGGGAAGATTATCTGGTGGGACTACACGAGTTGGATGTGATCATTTATAATTCTATCTAACTCAGAACAGTAGGCCAACAATTGTACGCAACATCCAACTCAAAGCTTAGCAAATTTCATTCGAACCACCCAAATTCCCCACATGAGTTATAAGTTCGTGCGACTGAGGTTGGCAGCTATTAGACCGGTCCAACCGGTCCATGCGGGACCGACCCGAGCACGAACGAGGCAAACTGCCTCTGCCTCTTTTCCGCGACCGACCACACCGTAAGCACCGGAGGATCATTTTAGGAAGGATTTTTTAGGGATTTTGGAGGGAAATGTGAATGTAGGGACTGTTTAGGGATTTCCTTTTGATTTGTATGCACTAAATACTTTGTTTTCCTAGGGTTAGCACATCTTGAATTTGGCTGAAATTTGAGATCTCCTAGATTTAGGTTTTTTTTTTGGCCTCTAGCAGCATCTAGAGATTTGGGAGAGATTGATCCTCCTCTCGAATAGAGAATCAATTGTATCTTGCTATTTTCCGTTTCCCTTTCATCAAATAGTACAAATTATCTAATGTTTTTTAGGAGAACTC